TTTCTGTTGCATATGAGAAACATCAAAGGGCAAACGACGCGCATATTGAGGAAAAGATGGATGGTTTTCAAGCAAAAGTCAAGTAAAAGACCGCTTCTTAAACCAGAGAAGGTGAACATGTTAGTATTCTTGTGGGGAAAAAAACATGCAAGCACTGTCAGTTTTACTTTTCTTTTTGTTTTCATTTTTGAAAAACTTATCTTTGCCGGTTATGGCTCTCTTTTATTTATTTATTTGATTCCTCAGTATTTGCTAAACGTTCTGTAATTTATTAGTCGGTATATAATGCAGCATGTTGTGTGTGCCATGCCTCATCTTATTCGTTTTTGTTAAACGGTTTGTAAGCTAGTTTGTCATTGTATCTTACTGATTTATTGTTGTTGTGCTTTTTGATTAAGAATAACAATGAATCAATCTTTTGTTTTAGTCTTAAAAAATGAAGATGTATAAGCAAAACAGTGACAATAAGATCGCGAATTCGAAAGCATCCGAAGCCCGCGGCTTAACACAGCAAAAGAGAACAAATCATGTGCTCGTGCGACCAGCTGAGAAAGTTAGTTGCAAAAGAGCGAGCAGTGGGAAGAATGAGTCTGGAGCCCTGTATAGGCTATACAGTGCATGAAAAGCAAACTGGTGCTCTTCTGTTTCTTTTGGTGTATGACTCCCCCTTGTCTCGTATAAAAAGCACAATAATCACGGTTGTCTGAAATATATTTTTACTTAATGAATTAAGAAAACAAAAGAAAAAATTGTGCAACAAGTAGCCTATGCAGAGTTTCGGTTCATTTTTATGGTGTGCAAAAGGAAACCAAGACTATTTTCTTTAGGCCTATTTTACAAAAGAACAAAGATTTGTTTTTATTGTGAATGTACACAAATAAAAGCAAACCTTTTACAATTCCGATTATCTTTATGACTAAAAGGAGTAGTTGCTTCCACTGTTAGAAGGAAAAAAAATCAAGTGATTGCGCCGGCGCCACATGCGCGCGCACAGTTAAGCTTTGCCTGTTCATTATCATAATAAAATACAGTCAGTCAAACATGTGAAAAAAACACTGCTCAGTTTAAATATGTAGTAAAATCTGTGCCGTTAAGCGTTATCACCTTACTGCCGTGATGCAAAACATTTTGTTTTACGTGGATATTGGAACGCGAGTGAAGTACATAATAAATAATATTTTGGCATTCAAATATATCGCGAATATGGAAACATTTGATTTTGTGTCAAATGAGAGACCCAACGTTGGTTTCATTTTCATTGTAGCCTAAATGAATTCGTTTTGGCTTGTCATTTATAGCTATAGCTTCTTATATTTTTAATTCTTGTTCTTTTCTAAATACTGTTAAATTGAAATGATTTGTTGTGGAGTGAGGGGAACTAAAATAGCCTAGCTATGTTTACATTGTTTATTATAATGTTTGTAAACATTTTGCATCGGCATTAAGCCTATTTCTCAACGAAATAATAAAATGTGACTTATATGCGACTTGGACTATGTTTTTTTTTTTTAACCATGCAGCAAACCTTTTAAAATATTTTGATCAATTACTGGAAAAAAAAAAAAAAAAAAAAACAATAAAAATGACTTGTAAATCGTTTTAACTGATTGTATTAATCGGTCAAAATTCTTACGATCGGTTAACGGTTAACCTGAGCATCCCTTCTGACAACATTGCTACATATATTAGTGAACATAAAGTTAATTCACCTGAACAAGCAGCAGCGTTGGCTGAAGATTATGTACTTACTCACCGAAGCAATTTTGTTGATTGGCGCTCACGGGGAGATGCTCGGTCGAGTACATTTCTGAGTTGTTTTCTTACGGGGAAGTTTGATCTACACAAGTCATGTAATTACTGTTGTGAAAAGGGGCACTGGAAAGCAGATTGTTCTGTACTCGAGACAAAAGCTAGACGTGAGGTTAATAAATTGCCTAAATCAGCTGCTTTTGTGACTTCCGTTCCGTACCTAATCAGCCTGTGCCTCCACCTCATTATCTGTCTCACACCCTGTAACCTGAGCCCTCTGTGATGTCACTTCCTGCCAGTCAAGCGCTCCACCTCGCCCCTGCTCTTATTGCAGCCGCTCTCAGGTTACACTGCACCGTCTAATGCATTTTGGGAAATGAAGGTGTGTAGCAACCTAAGGTCAAGACACTAGAGCCCGGCTCCCATCTCCTGCAGTCCTGCTGCGGACAAATACGGCACCAGGAATGAGCGGCATCCTGGCCAGTTGATGTGCTTCAGACAAGCGGCATATGTTATTTATGAAGTCAAGGCTGCTGAGAGAGGGAGGGACCTTCAGGAGTTATTGACTCAGAGCGAGCCAGCCACCAAAACAGAAGTTGTGAAGTAAGAAAGAGAGACGAACGGGCGAGCTCCAGCATCTAGGATTACAGAGCGAGAGTACCTGCTCGCTGAGAATAGTGGAACTGTATTTTGCCCTCCCTGCCGCGGGCCCCGGGACAGGCAGAGGACAGGGCACACGGGACGCGGGGTACAGGGCAAGATTATGGGACAGGGAGCGAGTACTCAGACTTTAAACCCGAACCCTGCCTACATAACCGGTGAGTTATTTCGGATGGGATGTGGATTCCAGAGTATGAAGATGATAATACGTCGTTTTTATTTCACACAGTTTGTTTGCAAGCCGTACCAGACCGGTTTAGCTTTTCCACTGGAGGTGATCTGGCGATATTGCTTATGCCGGTGCCAACTGTACTTGTCTGAATGATTGCAGGTGTACACTTATTGACGTGTAGGAAGGAGTGAGGGACAGGCATGGGCAGGTGGGGTGAATGTACGCTGATGGAATGTGGTGATTGTGCAATCGGACATTCTCATGTTTCTGTCAAGCACGGTTGCTCTTGGATTAGACTTTACCAGTTGATATGAGAACGAGCTTTGCTGTAGCTCTCTATAGCGGTCTCCACATTGCATCATGTATGACCATGTTTTTGGTGCAGCCGTGTTAAAGGAGAAAATCTGTTTGTGCTGGCTGTTGATACAAGCTGACTCAAGTGGTTTCTTGTTGACACTGTTTTCCAGCTCTGAAAATCACAGCATGATGAGCTCGAATCCAAACATGCAGCCTCGTCCTTCATTTACCGCGACAGAACATAGAGGCTGTGGAGCGCATTTATAAAACTATTCTTACATGAACGCATTGATGAACACATCAGTTTACTTAAGAATAGTTTTATGAAGGACTTGCTCCAATTGTTTTTAAAGGAGGTCTTGAATAGCATTGTACTGTTGCTGCTGTATACACATTTTCAATGTGCCTTTTACAACCAGCACGCATAGTGTGCTACACTGTGCCCAAAAGACTTCAACTTAACTTAGTGTGTTGAATGAACTGGAAACCAAGTTTACTTTTTCTCATTTTTGATGGGATTGACAAAAACTAGTATGTACATTTATATAAATTGATGCAAATCAAGATGACACTTGCACACTCACAGAGTTAAATGTGTGTACTGAAATCATGTGATACTATTGTAGTATTCTACTGTTTGAAATGTTTATCATTGCCTTTTGTGCACAATTTCAGATTTTTTTTTTGTTAAAAAAAAAAAAGTTTTAATAGCATTCAGTATTCCATTACAAATATAGTTAATTTCATCTAACAGTCAACTACGGTATTATAAATGTATTTTTGTTAATTATATTTTATTTAAAAATATATAGTTTTTTGTCATATAAATTATATATTATAATAGTATGAAACAGTTTCTTTCTGTATTTTAGTTTGTTTGTACACTACCATTCAAAAGTGTGAGGTCAGTAATATTGTTTAAAATAAATTATTTTATTAAGCAAAGATGTGTTAAATTGATCGAAAGTGACAGTAAAGACATTTATAATGTTACAAAAGATTTCTTCAAATAAATGCTGTTCTTTTGAATTTTCTATTCATCAAAGTTCGCACAAAAAAATATGAAGCATCACAACTGTTTTCAACATTGATAATCAGAAATGTTTCTTGAGCAGCAAATCAACATATTATGGCTCATTTCCACCGAGCGGGACGGTTCGATTCGGGAGACATAGAAATATAGAAATAGAAATCAACTTATAATATTTTAACAATATTACAGTTTTTACTGTATTTTCGATCAAATAAAAGCAGGCTTGGTGAGCATAAGGGCTTCATTCAGAAACATACACAACAAATATTACTGACCCCAACCGTCTGCAACAAAAATAGTTCTCTCATTAGGGCTCAAATAAGCAGCAGCACTAGTGCGTACTGTTACACACACTCACACACATTTCTGTTCATCCCTCAGTTTCAGGCGAGCACCTTCTGATGACTTGTCATGTTGTTTTAAGGTGTTGCCGTGAATCTTCTGTTTGTCACGTTCAGTTCTCCCATCCACTCTTGACCTCTGTGTTTATTTACACACAGTGTCCTCGACGTCTGTGTGTGATGTCCTCTACCATTATCATAGCTGTACGTTGCTCTCAGTGAGTTCAGGGCAGTCGACTAATCAGATTCTCACGTATGTCACTGATATGAGAGGAATGCACAGCCTTCCTGAAACAAAGAGCTCATTGAGGCTCACTGAGCGCTTCGTAGAAACACTGATTGAGATGTGTGTGTGTGTGTGTGTGTGTGTGTGTGTCAGGTGAAGATCAGTGCTTGATTGTGTTGGGTATATTGTGGCCTGTGCTCTGATAGTGCGACATTCACTTCAATTACTTTATTATTCGGTTTTATCAAGGTTGTGGTGCCATGACAATGAGCCAACTTGTTTTCTCTTGTCACCGTGCCTTTCTTTTTCCAAACAACATGAGAACAGTGTGTTTTACAGTAAGCAGTAAGTAGACCAAGTCAGAATGTACTGACTATTTCAGAGCTTGTAGTTTTTGACTTTAGTGTGTTTTTGCGTACCTTCATTTAAAGTTTTTTTCCACGTGTAAAGTGTTTTCGTTGGAAAAATCCCGTTTGAGTGAAGTAAACTAGGTCTGTGTGCTGTCAAACACTTGCCAAATCAGTTAAGAGCATCTAGGCCAACGGAGCTGCCAAAACCCATAAACATTCCAAA